GGGAAGAAAAGTGGTGACAGCATCCCAAATCGAAACACATGGTTTCAACCAGAGGCTTGGGCCAGACTCCTCTAAGAGAGATGCCTTTGTCACCTGGATGCAGCCTTTAGTCTGGGGTAGAGAGTGTAAGGGCATCAGCTGCAGGAACTGACCTGCCGTGGCCCTGCTTTTCTATGCAGACCGTGTCCAGCAGGAGATCGATGAAGTCATAGGGCAGGGGCGCCACCCAGAGATGGCAGACCAGGCCCACATGCCATTCACCAATGCTGTGATTCATGAGGTGCAGCGTTTTGCAGACATTATCCCCATAGGTGTGCCCCACATGACATCTCGTGACACCGAGGTACAGGGCTTCTGCATCCCTAAGGTAAGCCTGGGGTCCTTCTTCCCTAGCATGGTCACTGAAGTATTGTTACAAAATATTCTGCAACCTTGCCTTAGATACTCCTTTGGTGGCAGCCCCAGCATGGGTGGGTGTGGTGCTGAGCACAGAGCTGCCTTATCCCCACTGCCCCCGCACCTGTGTTTTTGGAAGATGAATTAACCCATGAAAGTTATTGAAGGATGTTGTACGCTTGCACCTGAGCAAAATTGTGTGTGTTGGCTCCCATGGGATCCCTGTTCTGTGGGCTTTGTGTGTATGATCGTGACTGTCCTGAGAAGCTCCTGGGAACACTAGATAATTGAAGGATCCTTGTGACCCTGTACCCAGCAGCCACAATGCCTCATCCAGTGTGCTCATGGTTAGTAAGTGGCAGGGTCCTGATCCTCCATCCCAGTGCACATCCGTGCCGTGTGTCTCCTGCCAGGGGACCATGCTCATCACCAACCTGTCATCTGTGCTGAAGGATGAGACTGTCTGGGAGAAACCTTTCCACTTCCACCCTGGACATTTCCTGGACAGCGAGGGCCACTTTGTGAAACACGAAGGGTTCATGCCCTTCTCAGCAGGTGATTGTATTAGACCAGGCTCCCTGTCCCCTTGCCTGGGTAGGTGGTGCCTAGGCCTGAGGCTGAGTGAACCTCATCATTCCCATAGGTCCCCGCATGTGCCTTGGGGAGCCCCTGGCCCGCATGGAGCTTTTCCTCTTCTTTACCTGCTTGCTGCAGCGCTTCAACTTCTCTGTGCCTCAAGGGCAGCCCCGGCCCAGCGACTGTGGTATGGTTTCCTTCCTAGTGGCTCCAGCCCCCTACCAGCTCTGTGCTGTGCCCCGCTAGAAGGGGCAGCATGGCCACTACTTATTGACTACATGGATGACTTCATGTTCAATAAAATATATTGACTGTCACTCTGTCTGCATTAAGCCCTGTATACTCAAACCCCCGTGCCTTAAGCCACTCATGATCCTCTGCCTTCTCCATCTCACCCTGTTTACTGCCACCAGCACAAGAGTAATGTGTCTACTGATGCTCAGCAGGTGGGAGCTCAAGCCTTGAAACTCAGGGAGACCCACGTCTGACTGCTGAATGGTTGGCAAATCCCAGGCAGCAGTCTGAGCTCCATGGGTGTCAGGTGGTGCTGAGAGTGAGAGGCTTTCTCTTCGGCATAAAACACAGTTCCTGGGGGATACTGGATGGTGCTCCTGGTCTTCAAGACCACCTCAGGCTCAGCAAACAGCTAGAAAATACAGTACAACTGGAAATATCCTTATTGTCATGGTTTTTGTTCATAACACTGTCATAATACACAGGAAAACTCAGCAGCAGGGAAAGGCACACAAGGTGGAGTCCAGGAAGACAGACAGGCATTCTGCTGTGCTGTCGGAGGAGAGTTGCTGGATGGTCAGTGCTCCCAGCCACAAAGGGTGAATGCTGTTGTGGGAGCTGCGTACAGGGCAGATGCACTCCAACCTTGGTGTCCAGGGCTTTTCTTGAGGTCCCATTGCCATGGTGGACTGAGAGGCTGATGTCCACGGCTCCATTTCTATCCACTCTGGCTCATGCAATCCAAAGCCCTAGTTATTCCTCGCTGTTGACACTCACTCCTCCAAGACCATCTTATGAGGAAGAAAGGTCCAAGGGCTTAGGGAAGGTTTCGCATGGCTCACCCATGGTGACTAAGGCCTGTCCATAGCCCCCCTATGAGTATCCATGTCATTTGATTTCATTGTGGTATGACACCCAACAAAGCTTGAGCGTCTTCCTCCACCACACTTTGTTCTTTTTTTTTTCTTTTTTTTTCAAAGTTTTATTGATAAACAGATAGCAATGAGACAGTTTCAAATCAAATTGGATTTTTTTTCTTTTTTCAGAACCAGGAATTGAATTCAGACCCTTGTGCTTGCCAGGGAAGTGCTTATTCTACTGAGTCATCTCCCCGGCCCCCACTTTGTTCTTTTCTTGTCATTCTGAGGGTCAAAAAAGCCTTGTGTGTACTCCACAAATACTCTACCACTGAGCTGCACTTCCAGCCTCATCCTACCCATTTCCAAGGCTTCTTTTCAGTGGTGTCAAATGTATTGATAATGTAAAAAAGAAGCCCCATTGGCCATTCACAGCTCTCTTCATCAGGCAAAACTGGAGCCCTAATCTGAATTTATACAATAATTATCATTCCTTCCTCCCCACCTCTGGCAGCCACCTTGTCATTTTCTGTTTCTGTGAATTGGAGCACTGTGGGTAGTCATCAAAGTGTAATCAGACACTATTTGTCTTTTCTGACTGGCTTATTTCTGTGTTTTGCATGTTTGTTTTTCTTGACTGAGATTTAGGGCATAGGTTGGGAAATGTCTGCTTGGGCCACTCCCCACTCCTATCCCGAGGGTGATTTGCTTATTTCACTTGAGGTAACCACTTCGAGTTTTCTTCATGTTGTAGCAGGTTTCAGCACTTCTTTCCTTTTAAGGCAGAATAACTTTCCATTGTGTGAATTTGCAGCATCCCCGTACCTACTGTTGTCCTTCCTTGTTTCATGTAAGAATGGAAAACCACAGTCTGAAAATCTTATGTAAAAATTTCAGAAATACACAATTTGTGAATTTTAAGTGGCAAGCCACACCGAGGAGGCCCACTGATTTCATAACCCTTTCCTCCACTTTGTTCACTAGAATGTAAATCCCTTTGTCTGGCATATTCTTGCCATGTTGCCTATGTTCCTATCATTTGCTTGGTTCTCTGGCCAACTGTTGCTCTTTCCTCCTACTGGGATGAAGTCAGAAGGTCAAGTGTAGCCTAACCCCACCTCCTGGGGCCTTCCCCTCCCTTCGCTTCGTCTCCTCATGGGGCATTGATCACAGCATCCAGCAAGGAGAACTGTGTGCAGTGCAGTCAGGTACAGTGTTTGAGAGGCTCCATGCACATGCATTCGTTGTGCACTGTGGTTATAATTGCTCTGATTTATATATTCCACTTCATCCCTGGCATAGGTGCATAGGAGACACCTTACTGTGATTATGGAACAGTTACTAGCAGGCACAGGAACTAGTTGGGGTCGTGAGATGTGCTCTCAGATGCACAGGCCCACTGTCCCAGTGTTCTTTGTCTACCCCTTTGTCAGACTTCTGTGCTGCCTCCATTTCTGAGCCATAGTATGTTGTATGTTACGGATCGGTGCCAAAAGAAAGGCCGAGAAGACCTGATGAATGTAGCTTGAAAAGTCTCATTGAGATTAGTCTCTCTCCAAGTGAGCCCAGAGCCTCAGAAGCATCTCGCATTTATTGAGGGGTAAAGGCAGGCTGAGGAATGTGCATTATTACTTAAGTGAATACAAACTCCTATCTCCATTGACTTCCACCATTTGCCTAATACTAGGCTCATACAAATGCTAGCCCATAACATCCCAAGCAAGGGATCAAAGGACAGGGCTCCTGCAGGAGAAGCTGTTATCTGCTGCCTTGGGTCTCAGCTTGCCAGGAATTTGCAAACAGTCAGCAACCCTCCTTGGACTCAGTCCAGTGTTCCCTGCTCTCTTGGGACATCAGGCTTTTGTCTCAAATCTGTATCTCTACAATTCCCCGCTTTTGTTTTTACGCTCAAAGTTTTTGCAGCATCAGGGCAAGGACTGCAGATTTTTGGTCCATAGCTTGTTGCTGGACTTGTTCCCGTCGCCAGACTAAACAGGATATACAAATAGTACAGAGACAACATAGACAAATTACTACTACACTTCCACTAAACCATGGAGTAAGGTGAAAAGGGTTATGTTTTCAATGCCATTTGAGATGCTTTGTAACAGATCAGTGCCAGACAATTCTGACAATTGTTTTACAAAAGTATTACGAGGGGTGTGGGGGGGGAAGTATTATCAATGTGTTGCTGAAGAGACAGGATCTCAGAGGTAATATTACCAGGATACAATAGATGTCTTCTTACGTTTTCCCATGGGAAATGAGTCTGATTCCATGGAATTGGAGTTATACAGGATGAAGAGGTATTCCAATCACATTTTAAATGAAGTTGATGTTGTAGATTAACAGTTTGATCTCCTAGCATAACAACAGCTTGCTCTAAATCATTTATCTTCTCATTTAACTCTTAAGTGTATGTGTCCTTGAGAAGTCCATAATTGTTCTGAGTCCTTGCGCCACTGCTGCACAAAATGAACAGTTTGTACACCTTGGCTCAATGCTACTCTGGCTGTAGCAGCTGTGGCTGTGACGGCTGTTATTCCTAAAATTATGGCTATCACGAGTTCAATCATTCTTTTCATTCTCTTCTTTAACACCTCCAGCAAATGTTGGAACAGCCTCATGAGAGTCTTGCCACAGGAGATGCAGTTGTACAGGAAGCCAAATTCTGGTCCTTGCCCTGAGAATATAGATGCTATCCCTGGAAAATTAAGGCTAATAGAAGAATTTAGACATGTATATAAAGAACAATTGTGACATGTGATGGTATAGTTAGAAGGGTTCCAATAACTAGGTCCTACAAGCAACAGGTAAGGGAGGTGAACACATGCCTGAGCAAAATGCATTGTGTTCCTTTTAAATTATATATTTAAATTATAGGGGAATTGATTCCTCCATATATAACCTTTCCATGCTGACATATGATTTAATGAGGTAACCAATTTTCAGTGATTTTTTTTTTTTTTTGCGGAAACGGGGATTGAACTCAGACCCTTGTGCTTGCTAGGGAAGCGCTTATTCCACTGAGCCATCTCCCCGGCCCCATCAAAATTATTGCCAGTGATTTTTTTTTGAGGTAACCAATTTTCAAAGATGATGTTGAATTGGTCCCCCAGAAATGTGAGGGACACTAGAGGACATTCCTCCTCCATGCCACATTAATGTGTCTTTGGCATTTTTAGTATAGATCTCATCACTGCCATTCCGTTTCCATCTTTTTTTTTTCTTTTTTTCAAAGTTTTATTGATAAACAGATAGCAATGAGACAGTTTCAAGTCAAATCGGAAGTACAGTTTCAACAAATAATACACTGCGGGCTGGAGAGATGGCTCAGTGGTCTAAAGCACCTACTTG